TGAAAACGGATCGGATACGAACGGATATCACTCATATTATATTTGTTTTTATATTTCTGTTCGGATTCGGATTCGGACACGGATAGCGCTCGGATACATATACGAATATGGATTGACTTCGATTACGGATACGAATAATGAGTATCGAATACGGTATGAATCGGATTCGGAGAAGGTCTGATACAAATATCTATTCGGATATTGAGTAAAAGCAAGATATATATATATATATCATACGCATGCAAAAACCATTACACCACTCTATGAGTCCATAATCCATCTAGATTAAGCCGAAAGACTAAAGAGTAAAGCAACAAATAAGATAAAGATACGATACATCATACATCAAACATCATATAAACACCAATCTTCGCAAGATGAGTAGAAATAGCCAAGCACATTGCTTCATGGGTCTCATGGAGTCATGGTCATGGATTCAAGATCTACAATCCTTATATAGGCCATTTTTTTCATTTTGAGAAAGTTTGAACAAAATGTAGTTCAAATTTCACAAGTGTGTGACATAGTTTTAGAAAGTCTGTATGAGATTTAAGAATTTGTGACTAGTGTTTGATAAAACTTTCTCAAATGGGAAAATGAGCTATGTAACAATTGTATATCTTGCTGAGATGATCAAACTTGGTATTCAGAGTTTTTTCATCTGAGGTCATTTAGTGTCTCATTTGAGCAAGTTTGACCAAGTCAAATTTGGTCAAATGAAAAAACAACACTTTGACTCTAGTATTATGAACTCTAAATGACTTCAAATTGAAAAGTTTTGAATACCAAATTTGTTCAACTCATCAAGATCTACAATTCTTGTTTTGGTCAACTTTCCATTTGAGATAGTTTGGACGGTTCAAATTTGTGATTTTTAAATTTCGATGCTTACAAACTAGTTTTCGGAACCCTAAATTGTCTCAAATTGAAAAGTTTTGAATACCAAGTTTGTTCAGCTCATCAAGATCTACAATCCTTATATAGGCTATTTTTTCATTTGAGAAAGTTTAAACAAAATGTAGTTCAAATTTCACAAGTGTGTGACATAGTTTCAAAAAGTCTATATGAGATTCAAGAATTTGTGACTAGTGTTTGATAAAACTTTCTCAAATGGGAAAATGAGCTATATAACAATTGTATATCTTGCTGAGATGATCAAACTTGGTATTCAGAGTTTTTTCATCTGAGGTCATTTAGTGTCTCATTTGAGCAAGTTTGACCAAGTCAAATTTGGTCAAATGAAAAAACAACACTTTGACTCTAGTATTATGAACTCTAAATGACTTCAAATTGAAAAGTTTTGAATACCAAGTTTGTTCAACTCATCAAGATCTACAATTTTTGTTTTGGTCAACTTTCCATTTGAGATAGTTTGGACGGTTCAAATTTGTGATTTTTAAATTTCGACGTTTACAAACTAGTTTTCTGAACCCTAGATTGTCTCAAATTGAAAAGTTTTGAATACCAAATTTGTTCATCTCATCAAGATATACAATCCTTATATAGGCTATTTTTTTTTTATTTGAGAAAGTTTGAACAAAATATAGTTCAAATTTCACAAGTGCGTGACATAGTTTCGTAAAGTCTATATATGAGATTCAAGAATTTATGACTAGTGTTTGATAAAACTTTCTCAAATGGGAAAATGAGCTATGTAACAATTGTAGATCTTGCTGAGATGATCAAACTTGGTATTCAGAGTTTTTTCATCTGAGGTCATTTAGTGTCTCATTTGAGCAAGTTTGACCAAGTCAAATTTGGTCAAATGAAAAAACAACACTTTGACTCTAGTAGTATGAACTCTAAATGACTTCAAATTGAAAAGTTTTGAATACCAAGTTTGTTCAACTCATCAAGATCTACAATTGTTGTTTTGGTCAACTTTCCATTTGAGATAGTTTGGATGGTTCAAATTTGTGATTTTTAAATTTTGAATAAATATCCAGATAATATCCGTTTTTAAATATCCGGATATATCCGATACTTATCCGGATTATCCGATATCCGCCGGATATCGATGATATTATATCCGTATTTGATATCCGTCTAAGATATCCGTTTTAGTATCCGTATCCGAAAAAAAACCCGGATATCCGAGTAACTATCCAGATAAGTGTTCATATTTGTTCGGTCGAACGGACGATCGAATAAATATCCGTACCGTTTTCATCCATAGTAATATGGCACGGAAGAAATCATTTGAATCCATTTACGCAAATGATCATTGCGCCATGCATGATAGCAACCATGCACTTAAAAAAAAATCCAAAGCTGCCACTGACAGGACCTTTCAGCATGTGTCACGGCTATTGTACTCGTGATGTACGGCTAGGCATGACCCATAATTAATATGACATCATCTTTCGAATTTGCTACAATGGGTGGATCTGTAGGTGATTCACTGTTGCTGGTGCTGGTGTTAGGCCGCTATTTCACTATTTGGGTGATTCAAGTGACGACGTGGATGGTTCCATTGGTAATACAAATATTAAGATGGTGATTTGGACGATCAATAAAAATTATGGATTGATTAATGATATCGTTTTCAATTGATATAAGAACTTAAAGATAATTTATCTTCACATGTCTTCGGAACCCTCGTCCTTGCGATCATGCACCAGGAGATGACTAAAGTTTTTGGAAAGCGCTTCCGCGTGAGTGCTCCATACCTCCCCCGACGGCTCGTCTTTCAAAGGCTACGTCATGACGGCTCTTCTTCCAAAGGCTACGTCATCAGGATGTTGTTCGTGCCTCTAGCAGATTCTTCACATCATCAACGACAATTGTCCTGTTCGCTTGGTTGATAAGCCATGACTGAAAGTACCGTTGACTGATTTACTGTAAGAGAAAAATACTTTTCGTTGGCTGAAAAAGTACGACTTATAAGCCAAGCGAATAGGGCGAACATTCCTCTACCTCTCATGACGACTCCGTGATCCAATCTTTTATTACAGTATGCCTTTATGATGCCATTCGCTATGTTGCTGTTCATGCTGTTCGGTTTAACTAGTACGTTAGACTGTTTATGTTAGTATTGAGATCGTCATGCTTTATACTCTAGTTTTAATCTTGAAATTGTCTACTTTCTCGGAAAAAAAAGTTATACAACTACTATACACTAGTACACGCATGCATGCGACAAGGTAGGTGCAGGTCCTGAATCAGAAAGTCCCACACGGGCGCACACACAGACCAAATGGTCCATATGTGTGGATATAACCACCTCTTATTAATCGAGATTTGAGAGAATATCAAAATGGACTGTCACGAAAGAGAATGTGCGACGTCCATTACCCTTCAAAACGAACACGTTTTGAATTTACAGCCTGCTTCGCTGGTTAATTTTGTGAGAGAGGTTGACTAAACCAAGGAGCGAACAGTCTTTTTGAACGCAAATCTGGCTGTAGCCAGTAGGTTGGCACTGCTTTTGGCGGCATGTAGTGTACTAGTACACAGTTGGAAAGGAGCAGGCACCAAACTGGGAGGCCTCATTTATGTCTCGTTTGATGTGACAGGGACCTGATGCCTAGGCTTGGAATGAAGAGCCAGATTGGCTCAAATCCAACGGAATGGAAGCTCTGGCTCCTAGCTGAAACTCTGTGCACCTTGGAACTTTGGAAGTATTCAAGCTTCAAATTCGATCCATCCACTTGCTCTCTCTCTGTTTTGTGTTCACTGGCGTCATTTATAGAATCTAAAAAATCAAATATACTACTCCCTCTATCGAAAAAAGAAAACGTTATGGGATGCGTATGGGTTAAACCTTCTCAACTTTTACTAGATTTCTAGAAAATACGTGTAATATTTGTATCTTCAAATAAGTTTATTATGAAAATATATTCAACGATCTATCTAATGATACTAATTATGTACTATAAATATTAATATTTTTTATATATATATAATTGGTCAAAGTTAAAAGAAGTAGACTTCTCGGAAAGCGAGAATGACTTCTATTTTGGGACACAGGGAGTATGCAGTAGGTAGTACTGTTTTTGTGGGTAAAAGAAAGTAACTCGACTTTTATTCTAAGTGAAAATATTTTAAATTCGAGAATATATATAGAAGATGTTATCAATATTTATGTTTCCACATAAATATATTATAAAATTCATATTAATTACATGGTGAATCTAATTATATTTCTTTGGCATTATAAGTATTTACATATTTTTTTATATAATTTTAGCTAAACTTGAGGTAGTTTAACTTATGCTAGTGTTTTTCTTTTTATATGGAGATAGTATTATTTCCGAATCAAGCTTTGTTAAAATGGTGCCAACGGACCTGACCTTTTGCAATTCAATTCGTGAATCAGGAGTGCCAAAGACACTGTCACAACTCGCAACAAAACAGTTCTAATATAATATAGGACCTATTGGATATAAAGGCTAATCACTAGTTAGCTAAAAATTAGCTCTAGTACATCCAAATAAGAGGGCTAAGTTTTTGACTAGTCTTCACTAGTCACTGGTTATTAGCCAACTAGCTAGCCAATCTTAACTAATTTGAGTTAATTTTTAGCTAAACTAGTAACTAGTTCTAGCTCATCCAAATAGGACCATAGTATTGACAGAACTTGTAAATCCTGCATATGGGGAAAAAATGGAATGTGGCCAGAAATGGCTACCGTACCAAGGTCCAAGGTCATGGGGAACTCTAGCTACTACCGTACCATGTTCAAATGTTGGTGCACCTTGGGGCAGCACTGCTGCCACCTTACGTATTGAAACTGTCATATCTAAGCTATGCTCATGTTTTAAATAAGGTAATCCTGTCCAGCCATTAGACCAAACTTCCACGATAAACAGGAGAACTGCATGCATGAAAGGTAACTAGTATATCCAGCTTGCTAGGCTCACAAATAAAGTACAGCTACCGTCTCATGCACATCAACAAGCATACAGTACTTTGCAACTACGTTCAGGTGCATCAGCGCATGCACAAGCTAAGCAGCTAGATCCCACAACGCCGATGGCCAGCATTAGGCTAGCGGCCGGCTAGCCGCCGTGGAGGACGACCCAGACGTCGGAGAACGCCTGGAGGATGACAGCGTGGAATCGCGGCGCGTTGAGCGACAGGTACGACCGCAGCAGCCGCTCCAGCTCCGCCGCGCCGAACACCTGACGCTCCATGATCATCTCCACCATCGACTCCCGGAAGTCGCCGTATGGGTCCCGTGACCGCTTCACCACCGCCAGCCCCTTCCGTACCTGCTCCACCGCCGCAGCGGTGGCCGTCGCTGTTTCCATGGCCACCAGAGGACGGAACCCCGGCTCCCTCACGGCGCCAGCGCCGCACGTCTCTAAGCAGCTTGCCGATGGCTGCCGACAGCAACGCCGCCGCCTCCTCTGGCGGCGGAGGTGACTCTTGTTCTTGGACGGCGGCTGCAGCAGCTTCCTGTACGCGTAGAAGCCAGAGGAGTCGGAGGAAATTAGGCTTCTTGAGGACAAGAAAGTCTCTGTGTCGTCGTCGTCGCCGTAACCGTCGGTGTCATCGTCTTCCTCGCCAGAAGAGGTGAAGCCGTAGGGGTTGGACGAGAGCGTCCGGACGCCGCCTTTGTCGACGGCGTTGTTGAAGTGCCGCCGACCGCTGTGGCGGGAGGAGGTGTTCCTCTGCTCCTTGTTGCTGCGCATGCTCTCGGTCTCGTGAGGAGGGCGGCGGAGGCGGCCGAGAGCGGCTGAGAAAGGCTCGGAGCGGGAAAGGGGGGCGGCACTGGTGTAGTTGGCTGCGGTGGTGGAACTGGAAGTGGAAGAGATAGATATCGTTGTGGCGGCGGCGGCTGTGGCTGTGAAAACCGTGGAGGTGGACGAGGATGAGCTGCATGGGGAGCGGAGGAACGTGTTGGCCGGGCGGAGGAGCAGCTGGGTGAGGCGGTCCTTTAGCCGCCGGCCACCACTTCTGCCACCGCAGTCCATGGATTGCTTGGACGAGCTTGGGCGGGGATAGTGGTATGTGAGTGAAATGACTGAATGCACCGAGCGCGCCGAGGATGGATCGAGAAACAAAGGAGGCAGGTGCTACTGGATGCTGATACTCCATCTCACAATGGTCATTTATAGGGGTTGTTATTCGATGGGTGCCATTACTATTTTTCAGATTTAAGAAGTGCCATTACAGTTAACCTATTTCGACTTGACTATTATATTTTTTTCGTCCCTTAAGAATGTGTCCCGTCACACATTCGGAAGCAGATCCTTCGACTTTGGCCTCCTGACTTTGAGTCAATCAGCCTGATTGCTGGTTAATTTATGGACCGATAAGGTCGGCTGTTGCTGACTTGTTGTGAGAGAAAAACATTATACCATAGCTGATAAGTTCTGATTGAAATCAACAAGCAAATAGGCTGAATGGCAGCTCAGACTAATTACAATCAGGCCCATGTGCCAGTGACTAAGTTACAGAGGCCAAAGTTTGAGGAGTCTCATCCATAAGTTCATCAGACCTTTTGAATCGATTTGAGGACGTATATGGCATATGAGTATTTTCAGTATGTAAGACACGGTACCTGTAGCGACCGTGACGCCTAAGATGAGGAGTGAATTAGGCAACTTAAAATCTACTTCTAAAACTAAGGCCTCTAAAACAGCCTAGTCAAAACCTATGCACGAGTTAATCTATTTAGATGTGCAACTAAGGTTTTGTTAGGTGTGTCGTTATCTCTAATACAAAAGAGTTATGCAACCTAGGTTCCAACCTGAGGTGAATCCAGCTATATAGGGCGAGGTAGGGCACCCCTCCGGCGAGTACCTTCTTGGCTTCTACCTCCCCTCCCCTAGCCGACACTACTACAAAAACTGATTTGTAGCAACACCTCTTTTTTAGGGGTAGCTCTATATTGAGTCGTCCCTACAAATGGTGGCCAAATGAGCCGCCCCTATAAATCCATTTGTAGGAGCGGCTGGATATAGAGCCATCATTATAAATCAGGACATTTATAGGGGTGGCTCATAACACCACCAGCCCTACAAATCGGATTTGTAGGGGCGTAGACGCCGAATAATAAAAATTAAGCACTAAAATTTGAATTTTTTCAAACGACCTTGGATGGAGAAATGACCAAAATAAAAGTTGTAGATCTCGAAAAGTTATGAAACTTTGTTGTTTACAATTTTTTCATTTGAAATCATTTACTGCTTCAAAATGTAGTTGATAATTTTTTGATTTGAAATCATCCTGTCAAGGAAAACTTCGTTTGAATTTCTCAAATTATATAAACGATCTCAGATGAAGAAACTACCAAAATAAAAGTTATAGATCCCAAAATGTTCTAAAAGTTTGTAGTTGACAACTTTTTGATTTGAAATCATCTTTTTAAGAAAAACTACGTTTGAATTTTCAAAAAATTTGAAATTTAAATATTTTAAACGACCTCGGATGGACAAACAATAAAAACGGAAGTTGTAGATCTCAAAAAGTTATGAAACTTTGTAGTGGACAACATTTTCATTGGAAATCATCTTGTCATGGAAAACTACGTTTGAATTTCTCAAATTTTAAATTGAAATTTTGTAAACGAGCTCGGATGGAGAAACTATTAAAATGAAAGTTGTAGATCTCAAAAAGTTAGAAAACTTTGTAGTTGACAACTTTTTCATTTGATTTCGTTGAGGGCCTCAAACAATCAATTTATGCTCGGTTTAGGATAATATATGGGGAACCAAAATACAATATAGACACAAGTGAGTATTGAGTGGAGTGGTTAGAGGAGAGAACATGTGAGCCTGAGGTCATGGGTTCGAATTTCGGCAGCCGCATAGCACACAATTTTACACGAAAAAATGCACGACCTATGGCTAACCGGTGGGCGCCTCCCTAAATTAGGGCGGCTGGCCAACCGCCCCTACAAATCTGGCATTTGTAGCCAGCCGGCCCTAAAAATCTCTGTTGTAGTAGTGCGGCGACATCCCAAGCTACGAGCTCTGGGTGGAGGGTGGCGATGCCACGTGTGAATGGGCCATCTGGCCAAGCCAGGCCCAATGGCCTAGACGGATTCCCTCTATTTGCCGGTTAGTACACTTACCTTCCGTGATGGTGAATTTGTGAGATATATTGAGAGGAGCATTTCTTGTTGGTGTGGACTACAAACTGATGTATAATATTTCTTATTAGTTTGGTATTTTAGCTGGATTTTAGGTACTGCATATTGTTTGTTTCTCTTGAAACTTATCCATGAAAATGATACAAGCATGAATACATGATTTGTGACTACTATTTCAAGTTGAATCAAATTAACCTATGGGAACACAAAAAATATTACATCTTGAATTACATATAGAAAGGCAAGACCGAAATATCGGTGAATATAATTGTTATGTGATGTTCCAAAATAAATATGGTATACATACATGGCTAGATCGAAATTTGGATGAATTTTGGTGTACGTATATGACGGTTCGCCCTACCTCACATTTTTGGCTGAATCTGCCACTAGTTCTAATCCTATCACTAGCCTATCAAACTAAGCTAGGAATATTAAGCACACAACCTAAGTACATAAAGTAAGTGCAGAAGGTAAAGGGCAATAGAGATGATGCAAACTCCTATTCGATGACGTTGGTATTTTTATCGAGGTATCGAGAAGCTCCTTGCTTCCCCCTAGTCCCCATCAGATCCCCTCGCAACAAGGATGTAGCCAAGTTCCCGGTTGGGTAACTCCATAGATAGCCCCCGAGCTATCCCCATGCTTAAGTGGATCTCCGAGATGGCCCTTCTCAGACAGCTCTTCGCCATCTTCACTATCGAGCTTCCAACCAAATCACCGCGGGCATCGTTCCCTCCGGTACACACTGGCGGCCACACCACAAATGCGGTTGGTGTGGTCTCACAAGACTACAAGCCCCTCCGATGTCCAACAATGGTGCACACAAGCACCAAGTGGTAAGAGGTATGCAAACATCATTAAACACTATACGTAAACCTAGATCAAGCGCTAAAGTGGTGGTCTAACTAACCTAAGCACTTCACAAAGCACCTACGCTAATCACCGAATAAAACACTAAGCACTTTGGTGGCTGGAGCAACTAAAGATGAGCCTTAACTCATACAACACTTCCTTGAACTCCACATACCCTCATTACTCGTGGTGAAGGCTACAATGACACCTAGAATACTCCTTGTATCATAAACTCTTTGTATCATCATTGGACGATCTTGATCCTTTATTAGTTCACTTCATGTTCTCCATGGAAATTGATACCTGGAATACTCCTAGTAAAGGCTACATTGACAACCATACGCTTGTGGTTTAGTCGTTTGCCACGTCTGGTGTCAATAGTTGTCCACTAATCTTTTTGTAGAAATGAAATGACAATGTCAACACTTAGATTGGATGAATGGAGTGAAAGGTCTGAACACAATGCCAACATCCACAAAGAAATAACAAAAATATGGCATGGCAAAAAGGATAAGAATGGAGTTCAAGCCAGGAGACAAGACGTTGGTGATCAATTCAAGATGTGAGGATGGAAAACTTCAAGAAAATGGGAAAGACCATCACAAGTCAAAGAATCTTTGTCACATGGTGCCATCATGCTCCAATGACAAAGGTAATATCTCAAGGTAAATGGTCAACATTAAAAAGCTTCCGTTGAATTTGCATTGCACTTATAAAGAATTAAACATGGTTGAGTTAAAACATTACTTGATCCAACATGGTTAATGCAACATGTTTTCTTCTTTATCTTTGTTGATGGCCTTTGCACATCTTCTTCTTGAAGCATAACCAAAAGAGCTAAAATATTGAACACCTTTCCCTTGGGGGATGTATGTCATGATCATGTAAAGTTTGTCACATTTTTCATAGGAGGTAAGTTGACCAACCCTTCCTAGGTTGGGTGACCAAGTTCCTTTGGCCAAACATGTTCAAAGTTTACATGTGTGCTTATCCCTTCCTAAACTAATATTATTGATGATTTTTAAGACAACTTGCTAGGCATAAGTGTGGACAGGGACATTTCTACAAACCTTGCTAAACTTGGGTTGAGTGCTCATGGTCTAGCTGATCTTGACGTCCCTTTCATTGTAAAAGAAGCTTGGAGAACTATTGAGCAGTTGCCTTCAGATAAAGCACTAGGACCATATGTCTTCATGGGTTGCTTTTACAAGTCTAGTTGGCCAATCATAAGGGATGACATCATGGCTGTGGCCTTGGCAATCTGGAGCAGAAAATTTGTCAATTTTGGGGTTCTCAATACAACCTACATCACCTTACTCCCTAAGGTCAACTCAATGGATCGGCCAAAGGATTTTCGACCTATAAGCTTAGTCCATAGTTTTGCTAGTTAATCACTAAAATGTTGGCCGACCAATCATCTTGCAAACCGGCTACAACAATTGGTGTCACCCAACTGAAGCGCCTTCATAAAAGGTCAGTTTATTCAAGATAACTTCATGTTGGTTTAGCAAACAACAAGGTTGCTCCACTAGCAAAAACAGCCACAAATTCTCCTCATATTAGACATTTCTAAAGGCTTTGACTTGGTTTCTTGACATTTTCTCCTTGACATGCAGAAACATTTAGGTTTTGGGCCAGTTTGGAGAGATGTGGTCAGTGGTCTTTTAGCATCTTCTTACACACATGTTTTATTAAATGGGATTCCTGATGACTCTATAGTTCATCGACATGGTTTACATTAGGGAGATCCTTTATCTCCTATGTTGTTTATCCTCATTATGGACGTGTTGGGACACATGTTTTCTAAGGTAGCCAATGAAGGACTCCTATAACCTCTTTGAAGATGAGCATGAGAACATAGGTTTTCTCTTTTTGCTAACGATGTGGTGTAGTTCCTTCGCCCGGAAGCAAGTGACATTAATATAACAATGGGAATTGTCAATCTGTTTGGTGACACTTTAGGGCTTAAAACCAACCTATAGAAGAGCAACATTTTATCCATTAGATGTGGTGATGCGGAGC